GGAAGGATTGTGACAAAGGATATGAAAACTATTAGTCACCATAAAAGTTTGTGGTGTGCTGGAGTCAGCATACAATGCTCTGAGCTGCACTCACAGAGACAGCTCTATATTAAAAACCCTGATTGTCTCGACAGATAGTTTAAGAAGGAGGGGGAACGAGGAGAAAGAGGCTGGATTTCTCCTTTGTTTGGTGCGGTTGGAATAACAGAATAAATATGAGTAGTGTACAGCTCTGACTTTAAAGGATGCCTTCATCTTCGTACGTGTCTATCTGGGCTCTCTTTTGCACACTGCCTATCTCTCTCCCTCTCTGGGAAAAAACAAAACCAAAAAAAACACAAAGTTATTCTGAAGATTGAGTTTTGCAGTAGCTCTGCTAAATATGAATTCACTGGAATGGATGACTGGGTGAAGAATACAATCAGCCACAGTCTAGGGAAGGTTTAAACAAAAACAGGAACATTGCTAGAGTGATGGAGCTTCCAACTGAGTGAAGAGGCCTTTTAAAAGCAAACCCACCATCAAATGACACTTACACTGCAGCAGTCGGGTTAATTAAAAATAAAAAGTTTGGCTGGGAGCACATCCCCTGTACTAAGGGATTGAAAAACCTGCCCATGCCACATTGCTGTAGCCAAAAACACATTACACTCCCCATCCTGCTGATCCTGGGGGCTTCTCATAACTTCTGTCCAGACCTGCAAGCCCCCCCCCCCCACACACACACACACACACACACTTTTGGGGGGGGAATGAAGAAAAGGAGCCTCTATTTGAACGGCTTATTGTACAAACCAGATCTAAACTCAACCTAACAACCCAGCCCTGAGGAAGAATCCTTTCCCATCAAAGAATTACAGCATTAAAAAGTGACCTACAAAGACTTATCCACAGCCAGTCTTTGTTCACACCAAAAAATAAACCCTGAATGGACTGAAGCCCTCTCCCTGGAGGTCTCTCCTGGGAGCTCAGAGAGATGTCCTGGTTAGAAGGAGAGGCTTGCCTTCCAAAAGGAGGACTTTCTAGCAATGCACAATGGAGTTGTAAGCCAGCAGCAAACAGGCTTGCTCAAAGGCAAGTGCTGTGGGTTGCTTGTATTTATGTTGGTTTATAGCTTGGAAATGCAGATCTCCTTGTAAAAATGAACAAACAAAAAAAGATTGAAGAGGCAAGGGGAGTGGAGAGCAGCCTGTGTTGCTGGAGACAGGAAATCCTGGCTGTGCTATCAAACTTAGGGCTGGTGCCGAGGACAGACAGGGCTGGCTGTTCTCTTTGGCATGTGTTGCTGGCCATGCCCCTCCTGCCCTCTGGAAGCTGCAGGGAGAAAGAATCGGTGGCTGTGGGAACCATGGCACGCAGGGTGTCATCTGTACTCGCAGTTTACTAGCTGCCTGCATTCATTTGCAAATGGGCAGCGACAAATAAAAAAAAGGAAGGCTAAACCTGAGCTGTGCCAAGGAAATATTTTTTAAAGAACAACAAGCAACTGCAAGCAAAGGAGCAAGACCCCACCCCACACTGTCCCCCCTACATACATTCACACAAGACCCCTTTTGCAGGGAGAGATGAGCACTGGGCAGAGTGAACACTGCCTCTTTAGGGGCATCATGATCGCTCCCAGGGGCACCGGCTCCTGGCTAGCAACTCCCTGAGACCTGCTGGCTTCCCGGAGCTGCCTGGCCAGCCAGGATCCACTGGGATTTGGATGTTACTCCTCTCCATGCAGGTGCTGCACAAAAGCCCCCCAACCTTCCCAACACACACACACACACACACACACCCCCCTCATCCCCCCATCACCACCACCTTCTACCTCCATCAGGTGGAGAGCGGCTCCCAGGGCCAGCGGGCCTATGTGCCAACCCCGCATGGCCATCAGCTCAATCAATTCATCCCTGCCGGAGGAGCTGGGTGCTCCCCATCCCTACTTAGGCGACCCCTGCCTTTAGCAACCCCCCTCTGCCCACAGCCAAGGCAAGTCGCAGCAAGGCAAATAAATCCCAGCAGCAGCAAGAGCAAGCAGTGAAGGCAAGCAACAGACGCCTCATTTAATGCGATGTGGGTGTCTTCCAAC